CGGGTGGGATTGGGCTAAACATTCTGAGTGGGACGGGAAATGGTTGCGGGATGCGGGATTTTAAACAGCATATGTTGAACCCGTATCACTGCCCATAGACTGTCTGTGATCATTAAATTATGACCACTGTCAGAGGATTCAAGGAAATTTCCTCAAACTCATGTATTAGTTCATCAAGTTTAAACAAAAAAAATCATGACCGTCACGGTGTTTGGGAATCTGATCTTAATTAGCATAGACTTTTACGATTTTATTTCTCCGTTTTCTCCTTAGTTTAAGTTTCGATTGAGAAGATATATCAGACACTCAAGACAGTGTTTGACCACATTTCCAAACATTTCAAGACTCAAAATACTTCGCTGCGCGTCGTAAATTCAACTCTTTTCTCGGTGTTTGGAAATGTGGTTAAACACTGTCTTTCCTGTTTAATATATTATATCACTACTGCCAGTTGTGAGAACAAAACAATCCACATGACACGACATCGTTTTCTAGGAGGAAGTTCCATTCCGAGTGTCGCTTTAATTTTGCAGATCATGGTACCAGTCCTCCCGCAGCCATGTACGAGACGTATTACGTCACAGCTCACAAAGCTCCCTGTAGAACAGCAAGTTTTAGCCCAAACGGTGTGTAAATTTAACGTTACTGTACAAAATGTGATGAGCAACGCGTGGCAACCTCGTTCCCAGTGTCTCTCTTCTTGCGGCGGGAAGAAGAAAGACTCTGGGAACGAGGTTGAAACACGTGGCTGATGTTTTGACGCTGTACCAGACTTGCCTTTGCTTTAGATTAACTCGAGCTTGCAACTCAATGTTTATGAGTAAAAAGTTCAATCAAGGGCTCATTTCTTTGTGCTTAATTCAGGTCGACTGATAGCTACTGGCTCTGTGGATGCTTCCATTAAGGTATTTCGTAATTAAACACGAATGTACATGTACATGATAAATAATAAAAATAATACATTCAACGAATCCGGTAAGGTGTGTAGTTATGTAACAAATACTGAATCTACAAATGTAGTGGTGATGATCAATAGCTTGGATATAAGATAATTGCAGTAAGCCTGCGCAAGTTATTTCACGCAAGCCGACACCACTTCTTTCATTAAAGGGCTTAGAATGTCAAGTTATCGACAAATCGCCGACTGTCAATCGACTGTCGGCAAATTGTCGGCGAACTGTTGGCGAACTGTCGGCTGACTCCTAGCGCGTACTTTGTCGTAAAACTTTCGGCTGATTGTAGTTAGACTGTCAGCCTACCAAAGGACTGCAATCGGCTGTTCTAAACGTATACCAAAGTTTTTATTTGTGTCAGGTGTTAGATGTTGAGAGGATGGTCGCCAAGAACACAATGCCGCAAACACAAGATCAGGGCGGAGGAACTAATCTGGAGAATCATCCAGTTATCAGGACACTTTATGATCACATGGAGGTACAGCTAACTTACATGTAAAACAAGGCAATTTTAGCCCATAGTATTAAAATTTAACACTTTTAGTGAAGAGTTTAGCCTTTTTTTCAAATGATAATCAAACTAGGTTTTCTACATTTTGGTCCCCGGGGGGACTCTCATGTCAAAAGGTCGGGGATGCTCGGTCGAAAATTTGAACTTAACTCCTAAAACAGACCAATTTGGGTGTGGCTCGAAATAGACTTGATTACCAGCGTCTGTTCAGGAAAGGAGCCCGCGCTACTAGACCAGACTGGAGAGACCAACAGAAATCGAGCCTAAAAACGGAAATAAGAGCAATATTTTATTACTATTTCTTCGACTGCACCCTAAAAGATACTTTGACAGCTAAAATTAGTGTCGTTTTGTCATGAACACCCTAAGTGAGTCCAGGATCCTTGATTTATACCCCTAATCGAAACGACGAGCATTCCCGACCTTTTTATTTGGGAGTCCCCAGACATTTTGGATGAATCTGAAGTAAGCGTTCTGTTCAGTGTGGTCCTGTAGTTTAGACTCTGAGACAAAGAAGTTCTAAGGTGTTGTGTTATTTGGCAGGACTCTTCCTCAATTTCCTCATGGACCCGGCGTCATATGTGGGTTGAGTTTGTTGTTGGTTCTCTTCTCTGCTCCGAGAGGTTTTTCTCCGG